TCCTCTACATCTAAACGGTTCCGCAATTCATTAGAATTACTTTGCGAGATGAAAGAAGAATCTACATCAATAATATAAATATATTTTAAATCGGCTAATAGAGCCAAAGCACGAAAAATTCATTCTTTGGAACTGTATCTCTTGGTTTGAGATTACTAAGTTCCATATTTTTCTTTATATTTTTCTCGCCTATTTCTCCATGTGTAAGTTCGAGATTAATTTATATATAGAACTTAGTAATCTCAAATCAAGAGATACAGTTCCGAAGAATTAATTTTTTGCGCTTTGGCTCTATTGGCCGACTTAAAATATCATATTTATATTATTAATATTGAGAGCCGATAAAAATATTTCTTATCTACATCAATAGCTTTGTTCTTTTTAGATTTCGCGCGCAATGCCTCTAGCTTTGTCAAGAGTCTTTCTTTGCTGGACATAGTTGTATTATCTTCCATTGCTCTCTTTTGGACACTTTCTTTGCATGCCACTGAAGGTTTCATAATTTCAGTAAACTTTGTGCTTGATGAATCAACAAAGGAGAATGCCCAAAAAGTGCAATTTTTTGATCTCGAGCGGAAAGTAAAATTCGAGTTGTTTTAGGTCTCATACATCTAGAATAATGTAAAAACCATAGTGGTTTTTCCTAGAAATGCAAGGAACAATTAAATATCGTCATATGTTTAGAGAAAATCATGTAAATCGAATATCTCGCAATAAATCGACATTGCTTGATGTTTCAGTCGAATATTTTGGTAAATATTTTGGTAACACCAACTTTTCAAGATTATTTAGATCGATTTTAGATCGAAAGAATATTCAAAGTCAAATCAATGGCACAATCTTATCTTTCCCTCGAAACCCTACAACTTTTGTTTGAAACATTTTTTCGTATCTCAAATCGTTTCCAAGATAAAGAGCCCGGGTCGGACGTTAGACACCCTGTATATACATAAATTATTAAATTTATTATTGACTGACATTAAAATCGATCTAAATAATCTTGAAAAGTTGGTGTTACCAAAATATTGACCAAAATATTTGACTCAAACATCAAGCAATCTCGATTTATTGTGAGATATTGATTTACATGATTTTCTCTAAACATATGATGATATTTAAATGTTTCCTGCATTTCTAGGAAAAACCACTATAGTTTTTACATTATTCTAGATGATGAGACCTAAAACAACTCGAATTTCACTTTCCGCTCGAGGTAAAAAAATTGCACTTTTTGGCATCCACCTTTTTCCCAGCTTGGATTGAATTGGCAGATTTTCTATCACATATAAGAAAATGCAAAACAGAAACAAAATTATTTATAATAAATTAAAAACAATAGCAAATATAACTTAATTTACCTTGATCCTTTCAAACTTCCTCTGTGTAAAGGGAGTGAGGATTCAATCTCAGTTCTATCCATGTTATACTTGTATTTTTTTGCTTTTGCATTACTTTTATGATTCTTATTTCTCATAATTTTTTGATCTTGATGAATCAATTGATTTCAGTGCTGGCACAGGAGGTGGGGGAGGAATATAAAACTTGGAGTTTAGTTTCACTCGCTTTCTCTCACAATCAGCTGCTTCATCCTTTTCAGATTCCGATGAAGATGAGAGAATCCTCTTTTGTTTAGTTTTCTTTCTCATCCCTCGCCTAAACTTAGTGTCTGTCTCATATGTTGAGCTGAATTTTATGATACCGTTTAAAGTGTTTCTGGCAGCTATGTAAGTTTCGAAAAAATGTAAAAAATATGGTAGTACAATAACACACCAAATATTATAGAAAAAGAAATTACAAACAGAAGAGAAACGTAGTCAGCACAGAATGAGTTGTGCCAACATCTGACAATTTTTATATTGAAAAGATTAATTAAAATGCAGACTCTTTAAAACATAATACATATAGTCATGATGCTAAAGAAAATTTCATCAAAGTACTAGATTGCAGCCACATAAGAGTATATCATATAAGAGCATTACTTCACTGTAACTCACCTTTGTATTTTTTAACTTCAATGTAAAGTTTGTCCCAAGTTTTAGGGTCAGCCGCTCTCTCTTCTCGAACATAAAGTGCCACATTCTGATTGTTAGGGAGCCAGTAAGTTATTTCAGTCATGTTTTCATCCACTTTAAGAAGCCATTTAGACAGTCCTATTTCGTAGAAAACGTTTTCTTAAAATTTATCTTTAATATCATTGTTATCGATTAACAATTTCAGCACAACAAACTGTAAAAATGGCAAAATACAAATTGAATTACACTTATTGTATGCAGATTCTTATTGTTGGCATGTGTGCAGAAGTGGCACACAGCAAAATGAATTTCCATCTGGCATGAGTTAACATTTAGCAACAATGTCAGCAACTTTAGAAACATATCTGGCTGTACTAAAGTTGGATACTTTAAATACTCCCAGTTGAAATGATTGCAAAGGGTACACAAAAAAGTCAAGTTTTTCCTGAAAGCAATTCCCAACCAAACTGACAGCATTGTCGGCACCACACACAATGTTACTGAGGACAACCACCGTTCCGTCACAAGTTTTAAAACAAGAATCTTTGCTACTTACATGAAGCATTATTTTATTGCCAATTGTGATCATCTTATAATGACTTCCAGGCAAAACTTCACCATTGTTGGTATATGGTCGAGACAGAGAAACTTGAAACTCTTCAGGTAGTATGATAACTGTACTGCTGCTCAACTGTCTTTCACAGTCTCGAAAAGCAACTTGCTGCAACGATCGGTAATGAGATTTTAAAATTTGCTTCAAAGATTTCAATGCATTTTCAAACTTGAAAGCACTAAACTCATTTAATGAACCATGTGCTTCACATTTCTTTGAAAGATGACATAAAGCATGAGCATTGTAAACAACAAATTCATGACCATAAATTTGAATTGAATGCTAAATAAATAATTGCAGCAAATTGTCAGCATATTCACGCATCTGTTGAGATTTCACAAATACTGGATTTCCAAAAATATACAGAGCAACAAATAGAAACAAAAAGTTGTGATAAACATTGATGGCCATGTACCACATAAAGCTGCCATCTTCCCATTCTGACATTTCAATGTTTCTTGGAGTTTGCAATAAAGTTTTATACGATTTTGGTAAATTAGGAAACACAACTGCCAAATTAATCAACAATTCATCCAGCTTCCTCATGGACGCAGCACTACCATTTCGAGCCCACTGACGGAGAACTACCAGAACATATTCCTCCACTTCAAGATTTTTACTTTGATTAGAATTGCTCTCATTGCTGCTATCATTTCTCTGACTGTAAAGAGATGTATCTTTGCTGTTTGCTGATGCTTCCTGGCGATTAAGAATTTCTAACTCTGAAGTAGCTCCCTCAACTGCATCACTGATATCACTGTTTGAGCCTATCATCATTATTCCCGACAATATCATTTGCTATTTCAGATGCAGAACTGTTGCAGTCAAACCTTTGTGAAGCAAACTCATTAACATCAGCATCGTTGTCAGTTGAATACCGAGCATCTGCAACAACCCCAATAGCAAAAACTCCTGTCTTCTACGCAAATATCTTTCGACTTGCCGAATTTGTCTGCGCAATAAAATGTCTTTTTTAACCTAGCAACAGTAAAGAAACAACTTTAAAAACATGCATATAGGATTTAAGAAGACATTGAACTTTGCATCAGTATAAAAACTGTTGACTGTTTAAGATTCCTGATATTTTGATACTTGAAATGAAATTATAATCTCAAAATTTATAACAAGTATAGGAATGAACACACAAAATGAAATTTCCATGGGATGTGAAAATATTTTGTTTTGTAAGTAAACTGTAGAAACAATATTATTTGAGTTTGAACTGAAAAAATAGGGATAATACTTTAGTATAACATTCTCATTTCCGATTTTGTTTAAATTTTAAGAATTGGTGTATTTTGATGTGTAGAATATATTCTAAAAAAGAAATATATATATATATATATATATATATATATATATAGTATATGTGTAGAATATATTCTGAAAAAGAAATATATATATATATATATATATATATATATATATTTATCGCTCATGTAATTTTAATTTAAAGTTTTATGATGTCGATGAATTGAAAAATGGTATAATTTATAGCTGTAAAATAGTGCACAATAAATATTTTCTATTTCACTTCTACTGAAAATTATAAATCCTCAATTACAGCCATTTTACCATTTTTTTACTTACTGACATTATAAAATTTTAAAATTAAATAAAAAGGAATGAGCGACGATTTTTTTTCCTTCTCAGAATATATTCTACACATCAAAAAATATCGATTATAAAATTAATTTTAATCAATTCTTAAAATTTAAACAAAATCAGAGAAGAGTTATACTAAAGTTTTTACTATAAAAATAATATATATATCGGGGGAGGTCCCTCGAAGTTCTCCTCCTCTACAGCTACTTTCAAAAGATCACAGCTGTTTTTTACTTTCTCCAATTTAAGTATTTTTTTACATGTAGAAAACAATAAACGTAGCGACTTCTCACTTTATGAACGTGTCGCATGCACAAAAAAAACTTAAAAAAATTTTTTGAATTTTTCGGGTTAAAGCTTAAAGTTTTCCCTTTTTTAAATTTAAATTTTGATTTTTTTCTATAAGAAAATATTTATCATTTTTATTTGATCAGCAAAATAAAGATTACAACTTGAAATTTTTGAATGCTCTCGATGTAAGTTACTCACGAATGCAATAAAAAAATAGGAGTTTTCGTTTAAGAAATTGAAGATGATCTTCATGAAACTTTGATAACGCTATTTAAAGTCATAATAATATTGCTATATAACGCATTACATAAAACGCTACAACTTTTGTACATAACCTTTAAAAAAACACCCTCTTTTCAAGATATTCTATCGTCCCGGTACTTTTCCTACACCCTGTATATATATATATATATTTATAATTTTCTTCATGTTCACGCATTACGATATTAAGATTTCAATAATTTTAATTATTTTTTTAGGAAACAGTAACGCAGGATGGAAATTTTGGAAAAATGATAAAGATACTACTACTACGACCACTACTGCGGTTTCTGTAAATACACAAAATATAATTTCGGAATATGGTGCGGATAGTGCTGTTTTAAGACCCAATATACCTGGAACCGATCGTGGAAATGATCAAAGTCATCGACAATTAACAGATCTTGTTGGAGTTAGAGAACCATCTCAAAACCAACCATCAAAAATACCTCATCAAGGATTAACAATTAACAGTCATAGTGAGATGAAACTTAATCTATTTGTTGTGCTATATAGAGTTTTTTTTAATTTTAATTAATATACTCAAATATTGCTGAAATTAATTATCTATAACGGGAAAATATTTCATACAAAAGTTGTAAGAGGATGATAAAAAAAAATTAATGATAAAATATGAAGAGTGTGATTATTTATTATTGTTAATTAATTGGCTTATGTAACTAGACGCTTTCTTAACTAGAGTGACGTACGTTTGGGATTTGGAGTAAGTGATCAGGTTTTCTAAATGAACTGGTTACGTTCTTATGTTTAATGACTTATTCTAACGAATGATTTATTTAGTATAAAATTTTCTTTATAATAATAATAATAAGAGACAGAAGGGGGGGTGAAGAGCCTCTTATTAAAGTCCTGCCTAAGGCACGCAGGCACAGTCAATTGTGTCGCCCCGAAAAAGCAGCCCGTAGCCAAGGCCTTCCTCAAAAGCGGAGGAGGTCCTTAACCAAGAGGCTACTTATCTGCTGCGGCCTCAGGAAGGCCGATCCCAGCAGATCGAATCTTGCCCTTGCGTACATCGGGCAGTCACACAGCACATGGAGGCTGGTTTTCTCCAGTGCATTACATCTCCTGCAATTAGATTTGTTGCTGAGTCCCAGCTTGTGCAGATGATAATTAAGGGTACCGTGCCCAGTTAGTATACGCGTCACTAGCCCGGCTTGTGGTTCTCCAGCAGAGCAAATGCTGGGCTCGCAGCCAGCGACCAATCCTCTCCCTGCCTAAGCAGTAGGGAACACCGGTCGCCGGCTCCAGACCTATCAGCCCAGCTTCTGAGCTAACCTTTGCCAGCTGATTTGCCGCTTCATTGTCTCTGATGTTAGAGTGCCCAGGCACTCATACCAGAGCAACCTTATTGCTCCTTGCCAGATCCTCTAGGACCGTTCTGCAGTCTCAGACCAGCCAAGAGTTGAAGATCGATGAGTTAAGAGCTCTAAGAGCCGCTTGATGAGAATCTGGCAAGGAGCAATAAGGTTGCTCTGGTATGAGTGCCTGGGCACTCTGACATCAGAAGCAATGAAGCGGTAGATCAGCTGGCAAAGATTAATTCAGAAGCTGGGTTGATAGGTCCGAAGCCGGCGACCGGTGTCCCCTACTGCTTAGGCAGGGAGAGGATTGGTCGCTTGATTGTCTGAACAAATGCTAATGTGCTCTCCCCTGGTCCTGTTGGTAAGAAAATTTTGAGCACAGCACATGATTGCCATTACCTCGGATTAGAAAACGGTGGCAAACCTTTCGAGTGGAATCGATCTGTTGATCCTTTTTCCTCGACAGTAAATGCCCGAACCCGAGCCGGTCGCGGAGCCGTCCATAAAAAAGATGATCCCACCACAGTTTCGGACCCTGCAGTCTGAGTCAATCTTCACATTGAGGAAAGCAGACCTTGAGGGTAGCCTTCGACGCGCGCTTGACCGACATCCTGTATTGCGGTATTCGGAAGATGGGGTCGGAAAGTATGCCGTCGAGGAACTTGGTGTGTCTGGTACCAGCTTTCCATTTCCCCTTGCACTGAAGTCGATACGCTGCCAGTGAAGCAGCAGCTATGATTAAGAGATGGAAGGGTTCCACATTGAGTAAAGCCGCCATCGTAACCATAGGAATGGTCCTGATTGCATCCAGAGCCCCTTGAGAATGAGAGCCCTGACGTGCTCCAGTGCCACTCTGGCCGTTGTCTTTTAAGCCCTAGGCCACCATACTACTGCAGCGTATAGCAGCCGAGGCTGAAGGATTGCGGAATAGATTCAGTAGACCATCGCCGGTCTGAAATTTTAGGTCTGGCTCTTCTGCACATCCAGAAGTAAGAGATAGGGCCATATGTGAAGCTCCTATTCAGTCTCTCTGCCGAAACAAAGAAAGCTGGTCTCTAGCAGATGTACCAGTCAGCGCTCCCCAGAAACCATCTCTCCCTCCGGGAGACATACGGCCTCCGGGGTTGAGTCTGGATTTCTGGCTAGAATTCTGCATAGCCTTGAGGTCTCGGAAAAACTCTATAGACTCTCTATAAACAGAATCCTCTCCAGCTTTTTCTTGACAGCTAGGATGGAATCCCTGTAGGTTTTCTAAGATCTCCTATAGAGGTCCCAGTTGGATTGACGGCCCGTGTTCCTGGCTCGCCGAGCCTACGCCCTAAGCCTTTGCTGGTCCGGTTCCCACCAAGAGACTTTTCTGTTTGAGCCAAATATCCTTTCAGGACAGTTGGCCTCAAAACTGCCGATGAGAACCCTTTGCAGATGTTCTACGCAGAGCTCTATTTTCTTATTGGTCTCGTGCCTCTTAGGAATACCCTCAAGGTTTAAAACCAGATGTCAAAAACTGTTAGCTTTAAACCTTTATAACTCAAAAAATATTCCATGAAAAAATATTTTGTTCTAGGGTTTTGGAGAGCTCTTGAGATAGCCTACAAAAATATGCAATAAAAAATATATAGTTCCATTCAAAAAATTGGAAGAAGATCTTTACGTGACTTCAAATAACTATTCAAGGTTAAATCAATGACACTATTTTATGTCCTCTTTTGAGTCAAACAACTTTTATCTGAAACATTTTTTCATGTTTTTTATAGTTTTCGAGATATTTGCGTGGAACATTTAAAATGAGACACCTGTATAGGCGAAAAAGTTATTATGCCATTTTTTTAAACGCAAAAGTAGGGTCTGTAACTTGCAGAATTTGCTATTGGCATCACCCATAACATTTCTGCATAGGTTTTGAATCGAAAGCCGTGAAACAGTTGAAGTCCTTCCCTTGTAAGAGCCTTTTACCTTATCATTGATGTTCGTGCTTTCCCGGTCTACGTGGTACGCATTTGAGTCATACCGTACGATCAGCGGAAGTATGCTTTCCTGACAGTGCCTTATCAGCGTGTTCAATGTTCCTGGAAGAAGTGAGTTCTTTTCGTGTGCAAAGCAGGCCGAGGATATGGCCACTCTGTTCACAGTTTCAGTGTTTGCCTTGATAAGCTCTACTGTTACAGCCACAATGTTCCTAGAATAAAATTCAAGCATAAGTTGAGCATTTATACCCTTGATTGCAATTGCAACTTTGGGTTTGATCTCCGCTGGAGCCTTGAACAGCTTTCCGCAGGTCGAGATACCTCTGCTGCAGTCTGTGAAAATCCAAGATTCTTGCATTAAAAAGATATATGTATGCACCATAGTTATGCGCCAAAACAGCTGAGGGACCTTTGCTATGGTACAAGTTGATCTGAGTGAGACCCACCCCAGCCATGCCCACTTTATTGAGGGCACGGCCCGGGCCGAGTCTCATCTGTTCCGCCTCCCAGCTACGAACACCGAGCAGATTCACTGTTACCTGCTCGAGCCCATAGCTAACCCTGAAGTCCCGTGCCCATAGTTTGAGAACACTGGAGTCCGGAATGCCAAGAATGAGGCTTTTTCCTTCCGAGAAAGCCCCGACATTCTCGGCAAAGACTTGCCAGCTAGTGGTAGACAAGGATTCTGCCTCTCCAGCAGTCGCAGGACCGCCGCCGCAGCCACCGGAGGACCCGATAGTCAAACATCCCTGTGCCGCTTTTGAGGCGCCTCCAAGTCTACCTAAGCTTGGCTCCCTCTCAGGACAAAATGTGCCCGATTCGCCCAGATAGCCAATCAAACGCCATTTCGTCCTCGTCACGGATGATCACGGCTCCGTTCCTCAGGGCCGCAGTTCCCGTAAACCTAGGCAGAGGACCCTCCTGGATGCCTGCCAGCTCGCTGACCACCGTACTCTAAATTATTATTATTATTATACTTCTTCCACTGATAACGTCGTTCTTTCCTCCTTTCCTCTTTGTTTGCGTGGATGCGTCCTTGTTACTTTCTTCCGTGGCGAGATTGGTGGAAATATCAATGGAGGCGATTTTGCGTCAGGAAGTGATATTGTTGTAGGTTCCAGCAGATAAGCGTCAAGAGACCTTGTCTACTCCGGTGAGTAAGCCAGGAGTCCTTGGCCACTCCGAAGGATAGTTACCTGAAGTTCGAGGCCGATCTAGCGGACAGGCGTCAGGAGTCTTTTGTAGCTCCGGTGGATAGCTTGTAGTAGCTTCGACGGGCAAGTGTCAGGAGCTTGTGGCTGCTTCGGCGGGTAGACACCAGGAGTTACTTATGGTACCGGCGAGCAGACGCCAGGAGTCTCGGCTCGTTTCGGCGTGTAGGGATCTGGAAACAAAGCTTTATGAATATTACGAGGATGCTGGGAGTCCTTAAAAGGATCGTTGCTGATGATGGCGCTATCCCTTGAATAGTATTGTTCACCTTGTTTTCTTCCGACCATTCTATCTAATGTTGTTGATCGTGTCTTCTTTCGTATAGTTGCGAGGCCTTCTGCTCGCAGCCTCTTGAAAAAGACTAGCTGATGACTTTCTGCGATTGCTAGCGTCGGACACCATTAATACAGAAAGTATCGATAATTGTTTTCTCGCCGCAGGGGGTCTCTTTATATCCCCTGCGTGAGTGTGTTTTACTTACGGGTAGCGCGCTTCCACTGCGCCGCGTAGCGGTGGCGCCCGCTACTACCCGCGTGGGTGGCATGGAAAACTCCTTACCACCCAACTTAACTCGCGGAGAAAGAGCTTAATGCAGCCAGTCGCCATACTTATTTTCCGAGAAAAGAGTTGAATGCGGCCGGTCGCCACATTTGCGCTCTCGGGAAAGTAGTTTTTTCGTGGTTAATCGCCACAAAATACTTTAATTTAAACGATTGAACATTTAACAAAAAGAGGCTTTGATTCTCCGAAAACACGCAGAATTTTATGAGTTGATCTAACCCCTATTATTAATGTAATATTTGTAATAGAGAAAGTAGTAAGTAATGGAATAATTTTGTAATACAGAAAACAAAAAACTCGTTTAATTAATACTACAAAAGAAAAAGATAATACAAAGGATTAACTCGGTGAGAGTTATAGAGCTCACAGATAAGGTAGGTGTTATCGATTCGGCATCTAAATACGCATTGAATTCTTGAG